TTTCCAGATGAATTAGCAGGTGAATGTGATCTGAGCATACTGTCAAAACCCATACTGTTCAGGAAATTTGTTCAGAATCTCCTGCAGCACTCATTCCGTGTTTAAATAGCCAGTAATGAGAAATAACTGGATCAATGCAACTAATTGCAACTTATTGCTACTGTCACTGATTTGGCAAAAAAATGATCTCTAAAGTATCTAGAAATTATCCAATCTCCAAGGACAAGTCACTAAGCCCAACTATGATGAAACCTTCTGTTCAACAGCCCAATTAAACAAATCAAATGCTGGAAATCTGCAATGAAAATAAATATGCTGGAAATCCACAAACAGTTAGTTGATCAGCATCTGAAAAAGATATTCATTAATGTTTTGAGAATAACCAATTATGGAACTAAAGAGTGTCCTGGGAAGCCCCTATGTAAGATAGAGGTGATTTAAAAAATACTACATACAGCAAGAGGGTCCTAATAGATTATAGCTGTAGGGAAAGAAAGCAATGAGACAGCAGGAAGAGGTACACAATTATAGTACAACTAAGCTTTTTAAAACAAAACAATAGCTGTATAGAATATTTTGGCTTGGGGCTGACCCAAATCCAAATTTGTTTTCTTTGAGATGCCAGGGGCTGAACCAGTCACATGTTTTTCATAACTATTGCTGCAGGCAACATTGTTTCCACATATGCATGGAATTAGTGACTACCACTTCCTGAGTTGGATCTTTTCCACTCCCGAGGAACCTGGCACAATGAGCCACAATAAATGTTTGCTGCCCAGTACGCTGATAATCATGTTTTATGACCAACCCACTGTGACGGGTCATCAATACAACTTTACACATGTACAATAATTTCCATCTTGCTGGAAATTCTGTCCCACAGAGTAAATGGAGGAAGACTCCAGACAACAGCAGCCTCAGGCTGAGCAAGCTGATGCACCATTTTAAATAGGTTAATCTGAACTCAAAGAATATACCAAAGATAAAGAACCAAACATTTTCTTAATTTGTTCAATACCTGTGGAGAAGCAGTTAACTTAATCCCTCACCTCCCCTTTTAACTGCAGCCAGTACTGGGCAAGATAAATGTAAGTCATCTACAGCTTCACTTAGATCTCTTTTTCATCAGCACATACTAAAAAAAACCTTGCATTTCGTTCAGTGGCTATAATGCCAAATATTTCAAAACGTTTCTGTAAAGGGTAGTTAGTCACTGTATTTGTAGGCAAACACAGCAGTCAATTTTCATACATCAAGGTCCCACAAATAGCCATGAAGTGAATAACTGTTTATCTGTTGGCCAGGACACTGGAAGAAACTTTCTTTTCAAATAATACCATGGGATCTTTAACAGGCATTTAATTCATAATTCCACTTTTGGTTTCTTGCTCCAATACTAGTTACGTTACAATTATCAATGAAACTATATCTGCCATCTACAAGCTCAGTTATCAACAATATCTAAATTATTCTGAATCATAATTCTTATGACTTGAATTACAAACCAGCAATATGGAAAATAGAAACAAGATTCTGATTTCATTTTCTGACCATCTGGGGTCATCTATTCCTTTGAGCTCTGGTAGATAAAAACTGATTTTATGTTTCTGGTAATTTACAACCAGGTAAAGTGCTCAATGAAATACATTTCATACCTTTTAAGCCATGAATTTCATAGCAATCAAGTAAAGCAAGTAACTCCTAGTTGCACAAATCTTCAGATTTTGTAGCTAAAAGCGATACTTCTGTGCATAAAGCAATCATGTAATGGCAAGTATTGTAAACATTAGCACCATGATTTACAGAGACATTTTAAGTAAAAGCATCAATCCAGATTTACAACTACCATTCAAATGTCAAACATAGAGTAGCTCCACTACTTAAGCATGATGCTGACTAACTTCATGCAGAAGAGCAAGAATGCAAATCTTTATGAACAATAAAATTGTGGATTTAACTGGAACAGACATGAGCTTTTGTTCGTTTAAACCCCAGTTAGATGCAATATATCAAATAATTTAAATTTTTTGATGAAATTAAATCACATTTATGAACATGGGTACTATGAAACAACATGGTGATCTTGTGAACAATCTTGCCTACAATGAATGCGGCATCAAATCATAGAGAATAACCCTCAGCTCCATCACCTTTCTTGAATATGACTTCCACAGTTTACTTTACTTCTCTCAAAAATGACCAGTAATGCTACACATCCATATTCCATATGCCATCCTTGATATTCCTTGAAGAATTATGCTCAGCTTCAATATTTTTATCTGTTGATTTTTTTAAAACATACCTGCTTAAATGGAAGAGCAAAGGTCACTACAGCACATGGATTGGCAACATTTGTGGAGTCCTGTAGCTCAGTGGTTAGAGCACTCGCTTTGCAAGCGAGAGACCCGAGTTCAATTCCAGGCAGAGGGCGAAACTTTGGGCAAGTTTCCTTACTCCACACGCCTAATAATAATCCCTCCAAAAACCCAAAACAATAATAAATTGGTCATTTTCAATCCACGACTGTTTGTGGGACATTGCTGTGCGCAATTGGCTGCCGCGTTCGCCCACAAATATGCAGTCAATTCACTTTACAGTGTGTTCTGTGCAGCGCTTTTGGACGTCCTCCCGACGTGAAAAGCGCTATATCAAATGCAAGGATTATTTATTATTATTATTCGTGACCAAAAACAACATTGTGACAGGTTGGCATGTATAGTTCAAACTGCTAATTAGTAAATTGTTTCAGAATACTAATAACTCAGCTTCTTCACACTGAGAGAATCAGTAAGCCGCTTCCCTTCCCCAAATGCCACTGTACCTGCCTTTTATCCTATTAATTATTTATATATTTTTTAAAAATACAGAAATTTATGATCTTTGAAATATTTATTCAATATTATACAAAAATAATTGCTCTTTGAAATGGTTTGATTTTCTCAGTATTGATGGCAAGACCTCCACTTAAAACTAATTACATAGAGTTGATAATCATCTATACAGTTCCATCATTTCAAAGACTACCATTCCAAGTAGTAATTGCAAACTTTTTTTTGTTTTCTGTTTGTTAGCTTTTTATTGTGAATGATCTGAATCTTAAGAATTCAAGTGAAATAGATAGTATTCTGTGTATAGCATCTTATGATTACTTATGTATACATTTGAATAAAGTTTCAAATCAAAGTTTGAACAATTCTTAAGCTTCAGTCTTAATTTGGAAGACATTTTCCTGCAGTCCTTTTTAAGAGCTATATAGATTACAGCATGGAAATAGGCCATTCAGCCCAAATAGTTGGTGCAGGTGGTGCAAATAGTTGGTGCATATGGAATTATATTCCATATGATTCCATATGATTTAACTCCCTTATACCTGGACATAATTCCAGGTGATGACAGAGTCTGAGAGATCAGGCAGCAGAAGCAGTGTGTGAATCTTCACCAATTACATTTTATGATAACTTTCTATTATCAAAAAGTTTGTAGAAATCAGCCAGTTGTTATTTCTCAAATATCCTACAAATTCAATCTCATTTCTTTTGTGGTGGAAGGTATGTGCCAGGAGAGGAGCAAGAAGAGATTAGCTATGCTCACTACAAATGAATACTACTAATAATAATAATCCTTGCATTTGATATAGCGCTTTTCACGTCTTCTAGACGTCCCAAAGTGCTTCACAGAATATAGAGTAGAGTGAATTTGACTGTATATTTGTGGGCGAATGCGGCAGCCAATTGCGCACAGCAATGTCCCACAAACAGTCATGGATTAAAAATAACCAATTTATTATTGATTTTTTTTGAGGGATTATTATTAGGCGTGAGGGAGTAAGGAAACTTGCCCAAGGTTTCGCCCTACCTGGAATTGAACTCAGGTCTCTCACTTGCAAAGCGAGTGCTCCAACCACTGAGCTACAGGACTCCATATGAGTTGTTCCCACACAGCATATTTATATCAAACTGAAAAGCAACTCTTGTATGCAAGGAACTAGCAACTGATATCAGACTTTGGGGAAAACAATGCAAATGAGATTCTACGAACATCTTCAGAAGATTTTTTTTAAAAGAATGTAATTGAAGAAATTGAAGACGTGGCAATTGGGTGCTAGAGATCAGTTTACTTGTAAAATCTGGTGTATGAAAGTCACATTATAGATTATATTCTATTTCTTCTAACTGCAAACAATGGAGAGCAATACATACACTGGTCTCTACAAATATTTTCCAACCAACTTTCCCTTTGAATACACATAAATGCACACTTATCTATACTTAGTAATTCAATGTAAGAGTTCTTCCAGTCACTTCTGTTTAAAGTTCATAAATCAGAGCAGAGGAGTGGGATAACCATACAGCAGGTTAATGGGCTAAAGGCTCAGGACTACTGGCACACCTCACAGGCTGGAGTTTAAATCCAACAAGATATTGATGGGAGAGATCAGAGGGAACTCTATAACTCCAAGCAGCAGGGAATGACAGATGCTGCCAGTGAGTGCAAATAGTGGAAAAGAGCTCTGACATCCTTCACCTAAAGAGCGCAGAATTCAATTGAAATATCAGAATTCAGGCATAAAATGCTGCCCAATTGCCCACGTTGCAGTTCTCAGGAAAGCAAATACGATTAATTCCTCAAATGAACAGCGTCACCTTTTGGAAGGGTAATAATATTGTTCAATATGTATTAGGCGTTTCCAGTTCTGGTATATTGGAGGCAATGAAATTGCCCATGGTTTTAGAATTAAGATCATCGACTTAAAACCCTTTATTTTTAAAGCAACACTCCTTAATTGGGAATAAATGTAATTATAATTACTTAAATACATTATGGATAGGATTCCAGATGAATGGCAAATGGTTTCATAAAGTTTGCAAATGCACAGCCTCTTAATAAACAATACTTGAATGCATTTGGTGATGGTATTGAAATAAGTTTGTTTGCCAGACATTCACATGCTTCAGAACACACAACAAAAAGATGCAATTAGAAAATAAAGATGAACTTACTGTCCAAAACTTGATGAAATATTGTAGCACAGTTGCAGCAATGAATAGACAGTACAATAAAGAATATGCCAAAAACAGTAGAAAAAATTTGTAGTTTGAAAATCCCACACAGTTATTCACCCTGAGGAAGGAAAAAAAGCTGCACGTTACAAGGCAGTATACATCAAAACACCAATACTTAACAAAACACTGCAAGAATCTTATTATAAAAGTACTATCTCAAGAGTCCTATAGAGGTATATTTACGTATACAAGATATATATATGTATAAGATAATTTAAACAGTTTCTCGTAGGCAACCAAAGCACATATATTGATATGATTATATATTATACTCTATCTATCTCAATCAATCATACATACACATTCATTTTCCCCATCTCATCAATACAAGCCCTTGATCAAAGTTGTAATCAAATATATCTTTAATGTAATAACCTGGATTATTGTTTGCAGTATTTGTGGAGTTAGTATTGTTATCTTGATTTTTTCCCATAGGTTAATCTTATTTTTCCTTCCCCTTTGATCCCTCTAAGCCGTGCACCAGCAACTGCTGAGTGGGCAGATAACCTGTTTATGGACCTTTGTTATCACTCCAAACAAGATGCTCTCGGCAGCACATGGGCATAACCAGGAAAGATTTTCTGATTTTGTCTCTCTCCCTGTGCGGTGGTGCTTGGTCTTTGCTCTGCACCTCCTCAGGGTCACAAGGGAGAACAGAAACTGAAGTGAAGAAAACTAAACGTGGGCTCTGTCACATCATGGCATTGCACATTGGCATTCCAATGTATTGCACTGATTTTGTACATACAAATAAAGTGGAACATTTATACAGCTTTCCTGCAGAGGAAGCATAACTAATAGCTTTCTTTAAAATTACACCTGGAAAGAAATGCACAAACTGAACATTCAAGAATAACAATTCATTTTATACTGACAAAAAATATTCCCCTATCCAAAAATCATTAACACTATGATGAAGAAGTCAAAACAGTGTCACGTTTATGACCTTGGAATTGAAATACCATGGAAGACATTTATTTTTCTACTTTTCTGGAAATTAGAAAAGCTCAAAAGTTAGATTTTTAAAAAAACGTTAAGATTCAACCAGTTATATATAATGCTTTGGTCTCCAATCAAGCTCAAACTGTTCTTCAATAGCTCAGACATTAATAATTGCAAAAAATATTCCCCAATCCAAAATCATACATTAACGCTTTACTTGCTACTTTTAAGTACAATCAAATTATAATGTAAAAGTATAAGGACATACCAAGGGCAATGATGATCCATTTTTAATATACACCTAAAAAAAAACCACAGGTTAGTTCAATATCGAGCAAAACTTTTTTGTTACTTGGAAAACAAATTGAGTTTTGTGATTTCAACTAAGACTAAACAAAAAAACCTCTTCTTCTCAAAGATCTTTTTTTGGAGTAGTTAAAGAAAACAGGTTAGATAATGAAGAGCAGGCTTCTGAATTTTTTTAAGTGGGAATCATAGATGTTATTGAAAACTTAATCCATAATTTTGAAAATTTATTTCAAGCAAAATATTGGCTGAAAACTACTTTTTTGGGATATAAAATTTCTAAAATAAAAATGAATTTCAATGTGATACTGCTATTTAAATAAGATGTACATGATAAAAGAGAAAGTTTACCTTCCCTTGAAAAGAGATCAAACAAATTCTGAATAAAAATCACAAGCTTCAACGTTTAACACAACATCAACAAACGGTGGTGCTACCTAACCAGCTGAACTGTAGTAAAAATATTACTATTGTAGAAATTATCCTACATATACAACTTTTCAGATCTTCCCCGTTTCTTTTTTGGTCTTCAACTTTTTAGATCTTGAGCTTTTTAGATCTTCCCTGAAACAGGTTGAATTCCCCAGTTTTCTTGTGTCAAAAAGGCAATATTAAAAGTTCCAAAAGTGTGTATACAAATCAACTTACATGTCACAGGCCGAACAGTGATGGCATCGGTCAGGTTTCATTGCTTGACATCTGTCACAGTATCTGATGGCTGCAAAGAAAAAGGAGCAGTTGTTTGAAATTAGAAAAACCTAATAACTCACAACCTAATCATTGTTGTAGCACAACGACGTGCACAACAACTACCACTTACAACTTATACTTATAAAAACAGTGGGATCAGAGAGGAGTTGAGTGGGTGTTTGAGGATATTGAGGGAAAGCATAGCCAAAGAGAGATATATCGAAGAGGGTTTTGAAGGCCAGAAAAGTAGGTTGTAAAGGATTTAGGGAAAGAAATCCAAATCCTGATAGTTTTGTGTTGTAAACCCTGGTTTACACCTTGTGCACAATGAACCATTGTAAATACTTATTTAAAAAAGGTAGTTTTAAAGGGGATACAGGAGCAGAGAGTCCTGGGGGTTCACATACACAGATCTTTGAAGGTGGCACGACAGATTGTTAGAGCTGTTAAAAAAGCATATGGAATCCATGGCTTTATAAATAGAGGAATAGAGTACAAAAGTAAGGAAGTCCTGCTAAACCTTTAAAAGTTACTGGTTGCATCTCAGCTGGAGTATTCAGTCCAATTCTGGGCACCACACTTTAGGAAGGATATCAATGACTTGGAGAGGGTTGCAGATGATATTTACCAGAATAGTATGTAGTTTAAATATGATAGAGAAGCTGGGATTGTTCTCCTTAGAGCAGAGAAGGTTAAGGGGAGATTTAATAGAAGTGTTCAAAATGATGAGGGGTTTTGATCAGAGTAGATAGGGATAAACTGTTTCCATTGGCAGGTGGGTCGGTAACCAGGAGACATAAATTCAAGAGAACTAAAGGGGAGATGAGGAGAATTTGTTTTACACGGAGAGTTGTTATGGTCTGGAATGCACTGCCTGAAAGGGTGGTGGAAGTAGATTCACTAACAACTTTCAAAAGGGAATTGAAGAGAAAAAAATTGCAGGGCTATGGGGTAAGAGAGGGGGAGTGGTTGTGATTGGGTAGCTCTTCCAAAGAGCCGACACAGGCATAATGAGCTGACTGGCCTCCTTCTGTGCTGTAATATTCTATGATTCTATGAATACATTTTTGCCCATTAAGGTGATGTTGGGAATATTTTTCTATTTACTAGTTAGCTACAAAATAAAATTCATTGCAACATATGCATTTTAATTTCATAATAATCAATAGAGCAGATCTAGTTTTTAACCATTTGAAATCGACAGATGAAAAATATCAAACCTAGATCACACAACAATATTCATACCGTCTCCATATGCACTAGAGCCAAACCATAAATGATTGAAATGGCTGTTAACTGAATCACTTTTGCCAGATATCAAGTGCTTTGGGACTTCCTCCCAATGTGAAAGTTGCTTTTGTATTGTAATGTGTTACATTAACACAAACTGCAGGAAGGCGGAGGAAAATTCCAGTATCTCTGATTTTGTAAGTAATCACCCACGACTGAAGAAAATATGCAATACTTCAGCAATAGTCAGCCATAAACCACTAATGTAATATTAGCCACAAACTGCAGCTCATACAGCACTTAGCTTTCCAGTGTACTCTTTGGATCTACTTAAACTCCAGAAAAATACACTTTTCTGTACATTTGCTACTTCATTCTCAACACCAGTCCTAATTGTAACCTCTGAGGAAGGCTACCTACCTAAATTATGGTACTAAATTACGGTCAGTTGTGCATCGTAAATTCTTGCTTACAAATAACTGGGTTGAAACATTCAAGTTTAATTCTAAATCTCACTTCGAACTATTGCAGGAAAGTTTACCCCATCAATGTGATTGTATTCAGAACCAGATCCAAGAGGTGAAAACTAGGCATATCCACAAAACATTGGCAAATAACCTTTACAATAACATTTTGATGTATAAAAACAGGAAATACTCAGAAAATTCTTATATCTGTACAGAAGTTGGACAGAATTTATCTTTTGTGCATTCCTCATCTGTACTATGCAAACAAAAACATTAAGTGATCTTGTCTACCTAATTTGTTTATTTCCTTTTGCATGCCATAAGCTAAGCCCATTTATACACAGATCAGCAATTTTAGCGTGAATTGTCATGGATGTGATGACTGGGCAATGTATCTTTGAAAGCTCTTTCAGGCAACCAAGCTCATTAAAGCAGCAATATAACATGTTTAGCCTATTTCCAGGCATCTGTTTATAATCCTGCTTTTAAAATAAAATCATAGGCCTTCTCCATTTCAGTTTATTGCATTTCAGTCTGCATTTTATTAAATGCAGACGATTGGATTTTGCCTTTCGTTGCTAAGATTAGTTGGTGAAAGAAAAGAGGGTGGGAAACATTATACAAACTATAGAATAAATACCAGCCCCTTTATGCATGTGCCAAAGTTGACCTCCAGGTCATTTATGCAGCAAAGTTCAGTTATGTGGAGCCATTCCACAAAAACGTCAAATCTATTTCTGCAGTTGTAATGTTATGAAATACATAAATAACAGTGCAAACAGTTATGCACAAGTACACCACATCAAGAAATTGACAGTTAATTGAGTATTAAATAGTATTATTTATCAAGTTATGAAATGATCCAAAACAATCGAGTTCTAAAAAGACAGAAGGATTTTCTCTGTAGCAATAGAATTTTCCACCCACACATTCCAGCAAATGTTTTGTTCTAAAGAACTAAATCCTACTGGACAGTTTTCTATTTGCCATTTAAGTCCATCTTTATTGGTTCAAGCTCAAATACACAAATGGCATACAAGATCGTACTTGATACTTGGCATAATATAGCTTAATCCTCTTCTCCATTTCTTCTAGTTCCTCAGTTTTCACACATTTACCGTTCTCAGACCAAGCAACTCCTACAGTCACAAGGTAGGGGCAGGACAGCATCAAATCTGCTCTTGGAAAAGCAGGTATGAATAAGTGGGGTCTGAAGAAATTTCCCCATCTGCAGTGAAATCCCCAACATTTCCTCAGTGCTGCTTCGCACAAGTTAACTGAGATTGGTAACTCAGAAAAGTGAGCACACTTATCTTGCATCTTTCCCCACTACAGTGCAGCACATCGATGCTTCAACATCAACCTATCTCTGCCCGTCATATATATTGACTGCAGTAGTTTTTAAACGATTTGTGTTACAAGTGCAATAACTAATTTGGGAGCAGAGGGATGGACAAAATAATTTGAATTGCTGTGCAGCAAAATATTTCCCTACAGTCACACAGAATTGCTTCCACTGCTGCTGATGTTTATTAATATTCCATATCCTTCCGAGGGAAATTTACCTCCACTTGCAGTCCTGGTGGATAGAGGTACATCTTTCGCAGCTTTTCTGAGAATTGCTTGTTGTGCTTCAGGCCTTTCTTCTCGATCGTACTGTTCTTTATCTGTCTTCATCAAACTGAACTGCAAAAAGAAAATGCGATGCAATTAGAAAACTCCTCGCCTCGAGGATGGACTTTGCAAGTTTCAGAATTCTAGATAAAATGAAATTGCTGTTCTTCATTTCATAACTTTATTCAAAAATTGTCTTTCACCAATATTAGCACTTATCTTTACAACTTCAAACATTTCCACAATGCCCCTCTATAACCTGTACCACATAGCATGTTAACATAAAAACAAAATGATTTATATAGCACCTTCCATGTCGGAAGGATGTGCCAAAGGCAATCGCAGCGAGAAACAGAACACAAATAGATTAACAGAATTCAAAATTAATTTTCCAGATCTTACAATCACTGGTTCGGGTTTCAATTGCCGAACCTGCAAACCGTTGACTCAAGAGGAACCTGCAAACCTTTGACTCAACACTCAGTGTTGGATTTGGTGTCCTGTTGAGGCCTTGTAAAACTAATAACAATCAATCTTGCATTTGGTATAGAGCTTTATCACATCATCGATACGTTTCAAAGCACGTCACAGCTGTAAACTACTGCAAAGTAGTTTGACTGTATATTTTGTAGTATTTAGTGATAATTGAGCTACATGCAGATTGTCTCAACATGAAAGGTGCTGGACTTAAATGCAAGGATTATTTTTATAGTATTATAATCTGGCCTGAGGGAGAAGCACACCCTCTTCCATGCCTCTGTAAGCAATCCCAGAATTCTGGGTTGCTTGAGTTGTAAATTGTAAAGACTAATGGATTTGTTAACTTCGTAAAGCTGACTCTATATACAAATGCATGAAGGCCAAGGACAATAGAAAACAAGTTGAAAGGAATGAAGTTTTCTTCAACATCATCGTGGGTGGACAAAGAAGTGCTTGAAACAAGTTGTTGGAATAATGATAAAGACGAAAAGTTGACAACTATGGATATCAATGAAGGGATGAGACTGTCTGACTCCAAAGATGTTTTTAGTAAAGCTAAATTCCAGATATCTTGACAACAACAAAATTGTATTTGTATAGCGCCTTTCATGTCGGTAGAACATCCCAAGCCGCTGGACAGTCAATGTTTCGGACCCGAGCTGGGGGTCGGGATTGGGGTGGATGGAGGGCATGGGAGGAAGGAGGGTGATTGAAAGCACGGTCAAAGAGTAGGGTCTGGCTATGAGTCTTGAAGGAGGCAAGGGAGGGGGCGAGGCGGAGGGACTGCAGGAGGAGTTCCAGAGGGTGTGGGCAGAGTGGCTGAAGGCTCACCTGTCAATGGTAGGGCGGGAGAGGCTCAGGAAGTAAAGGCTGGAGCCTGCTGAGCGGAGGGAGCGGGCAGGTTGGTAGGGGTTAGGAGGTCGCAGAGGTAGGGGGAAGCAAGGCCATGGAGGGCTTTGAAGGTGAGGACCAGGATCTTGAACTGTATACTCTGTGTGATGCCAGTGGAGTCAGGCGAGTATGGGGGTGATAGGGTCAGAGAGCCTGGTGCAGGAGAGGCCCTGAGCTGCAGAGTTCTGGATGAACTGCAGCCTATGGGGAGGCCGGCGAGCAAGACGTTTGCATAGTCAAGCCTGAATGTTACGAATGCGCATAAGAGGGTTTTCGGTGGCCTGCGGTGTGACAGTGGCGGATGTGGGATGGAAAGGACAGTTGAGAGTCAAGCAAGGTCGATGTGTACGTCTTTACTAGGTATAATTGTAAGAATAATTCTCAACGAATGTAGAAGAGCTGCTTAAAGAGAAGAGCTGAGTTTTGTGAACAGAGCAGCTAACCGCAACCAATCTCAAGGGAAAAGATATACTACAATCAACATAACAACAACAACTTGGATTTATATAGCACCCTCCACACCGGACGGTGTCTCAGAGCGCTTCACAGTAATGATCCCGGGGCCGAGCCAGGGGGAAGGGGAGGAAGGTGACCAAAGGCGCGGTCGAAAAGAAAAGTCTTCAGCAGAGACCTGAAAATAGGAAGAGAAGGGGCGAAGTGAAGGGAGTGAGGAAGGGAGTTCCAGAGCCTCGGAGCATAGTGGCTGAAGGCACGGCAGCTGAGGGTGGAGCGGAGGACTCGGGGACAAGGAGGAGGCCAGACCTGGAGGAACGAAGGCAACAGGCACTGTTTTGAGGAGAGGTCAGAGATGTAGGGGGGTGCGGAGGAGTGGAGGGATTTGAAGACAAGGGTGAGGATCTTGAAATCGATCCTCTCTGGGACGGGGAGCTAGTGGAGTCTGGCGAGGACTGGGGTAATCGGGGAGTGGAGTTTGTTGCGGGTGAGAATGCGGGCGGCAGAGTTTTGAATAGTCTGGATTTTATGGATGGTAGTGGATGGGAGACCGACGAGGAGGGCGTTTGAATAGTCCAGCCGAGAGGTGACAAAGGCATGGACCAGAGTTTCAGCAACTTTCGGAGAGAAGTATTGGCGGAGGCGGATGATGCATCGGAGGTGGAAGAAAGCCGTGCTGGTGAGGGACCGGATGTGGGGGAGGAAGGATAATTGGGGGTCGAACCTGACGCCTAGGTTGCGTACGGGTTCGGAGAGTTTTAAGGAGATGGAGGAGGTGAGAGCTGTGACATTTTAGACACTGATGAGAGCCAAAGTGTATGGCTTCCATCTTATCAACATTCAACTGAAGGAAATTTGCGCACATCCAGCCCCTGACGTCTGACAGGCAGGCTGACAGAACATCAGGGAACTGGTGGGGTCGCAAAGAGAGATGGAAAAATAGAGTTGGGTGTCGTCCGCATACATTATAAACGTACTCCATGTCTGCGGATGACAAACCCAAGAGGGAGCATGTAGATCAGAAAGAGGAGGGGGCCAAGGATGGATCCTTGGGGTACCCCGCAGGTGACCGGGTGAGAGCGGGAGGAGAAACCATTTGTGCAGATGTACTGCTGGCGGTTTGTGAGGTAGGACTCAAACCAGGCGAGTGTGGTCCCACTGAGGTGGATGATGGAGGAAAAGCGGTGGAGGAGGATGGCGTGGTCGCCTGTGTCGAACGCAGCGGAGAGGTCCAGGAGGACAAAGAGGCAGAGGGAGCCCTGGTCACAGATAGAGAGGATGTCGTTTGTGACTTTCACAAGCACAGTCTCTGTACTGTGGGCAGGGCGGAAGCCGGATTGGAGGGGTTCGAAAAGGGAGTGGGAGGAGAGGTGTAAAGTTGATTGGTAACAACGCGTTCTAAGACTTTTGCGAGGAAGGACAGGTTAGAAATAGGGCGGTAGTGGCTGAGGTTTGAGGGATCTAGGGAAGGTTTTTGAGGAGGGGTGATGACAGCAGTTTTGAGGGGGGCAGGGACTGATCCGGAGGAGAGGGACTGGTTGATGACGTCAACCAGTAGTGGGCAGAGGAAGGGGAGCTGGGTGACCAGCAAGTTGGTGGGAAGGGGGTCGAGGCAGCAGGTGGTGGGTTTCATGGAGGTGATGGTGAGTGAGAGGGATGAGGGAGAGATGGGGAGGAAGGAATGTAGGATGTAGGTTGTGGTATGAGCAGATGATGGGGAGGGCATGGTGATGGGTGACAAGAGGCAGGTGGGTGAAGCTGCCTGGCGGATGTTGTGAATTTTAGATGAAAAGAAGTCTATGACCTCCTCTCACTTGGCAATTGATATGAAGATGGAGGAGACCTGAGGGGGGGCCACACAGGAGGTAGTGGGTGGTGGAAAAAAGGATCTTGGGGTTGTGTTTAGCCTCCAAGATGAACATGGATTGACGCAACAAGTTAACAAGTCGATTGCTCCATCAAAGCTACTATATTGATCCCATTGCAGTGAACTTTACTAACCTGTCGGAGGCATTAATTTGATTACTAACTCGTCGTAAGAATTAATTTGATTACCAACCCGTTGTAAGAATAAATTTGATTACTAACCCGTTGTAAGAATTAATTTGATTACTAACCCACCGTAAAAAATTTGATTTGATGAAATGCATAATTTTGATCATGTATAACCTTGCTAATCTTTTATTAAATTTTCTACTTAAAAGGAAATTTGTATCAGTTCACGCTTCACCTCAGGGTCACAAATTTAATTAACCCATAAACCTCTAAGATTTGAAATTAATATTTTTTGGAAGTTACTGCTGCATTTTCAGTGTAGACCAAATTCGTCTATTGCGCACACACACAATCTCTTCCTCTGGGTCATTCAAAAACTGCATTATGAAACAATTGAGATGTTAGCTATTTTCTTCATCCTCATCATTCACAAGTCAGCAGATGGCCCTTTTAAGAACTGTCTAATAAAATGGGCATCGAGTTCAGAGAGAAACTAATTAGATTGTTTGTTCATTAGTTATCCAAGTACTATTTCAATTTAAAGAGTCAACTAAAGTATGATTGATGAGTTCATTTTTTCACAATGCACTGGAAAGTTACTTCCTCAAAATGCTCTAACACACGAGGGATGAATAGTGTAGATATGTTAGATGATTGCTGAAAAAATACACTTCCTGTAGATTTCTACATTCCTGTAAATGTAAATGGGGATTTCTTCTGCAGAATTTTTTTTCTTCAGTAATTTTACTAAGCAGAAATCAAAAACAAATCTAGATTCCACGCTCCATAGGCTGATGTGTTCAATCATTCACCACACATGATCAATGAGTTCACCTTTAAAGCAGGAATCACAGTTGACAGCACCTAACTGTGAGCACCGACCTGAGTCTGAGTACAGAAAAATGTGGAGCCAACAATGCTACTACATTACAATAGCAGAATTAATCTAACATAGGTGACATTCCAGCATGCCTTGTCGTCAAGGGGACCTTAATTCAAGTTACTTTGAATTATGTTGAACAAGCTTCACGAGCAAGAGCTTCACATCATCACTTAATCGGGACTTATTACAAGCTGGTGTAAAATACTTGGAAATTCAGATCCAGTTCCCAGTAGACAATCATTGATACAGTTTTAAAAAAGGAGTTTCCAAAATTGCACTGAATTATAGTTGAGAATTCCATTGTCTAATTGTACGCTGCAACTGCAGTTAACTTCGAACTGAATCCAATCACAGAACTTATGGATGAAAA